GGAGGAAGCATTAAAGAACTAGAGGAAAGTTGTATGTTTCATTGTTGCTACCCTGCACCCTGACTGGCTCCTCTTATCCCTGGGACCCTTCCGTAAGGGGGTGCCTTTTTGGTCTTAAACAGGTGATTATCCTCCCACAGGGGTGAGTTCAGTTTGAGACATGAAGGGTAACTAAGGGCCATAGTGTTGGGGGTCCCACCAATGAAGCCCAGTGTCTTTTATGATTGTGAGTTCCATACCACATTTTTCTCCCTGTCTACCTTGGACCTTCTAACATGGTCCTTTCAGAGCAGTTGATGGTGTGATGGCAAGGCGCCATCTGGCTCTTCTGATCTCTGGCGCCTGGACACTGACGTTTGTGTGGTCCAGTAGTCAGTTGGACTCATTGTGTCCGTGTGTGCTCCCTAGGGTTTCCTCGCCTGACATCTTACTGGGAGCAGACCACCAGGTCTTTTCTTCTGAGGAGCCGTTGGCAGGTTCCCAGCGAGCCCTTAACCGTTGTGGCACCAGGGCGCCCGGGAGTGTCTGGTGAATAGCTGCTGCTGTGCTTATCACCATTTGACCCGGCCTGTGCCAGTGCAGCAAAGGCTTCGGTTCCTTCTCCTTGACACATACAGGTCACCATTCACATGCACAGTGGGGAAAGCCTCCAGATCTTTTCACGTCTGCTTCGGCAGCGCTGGAGTGGCCCCATGCTGTGCTTACACAGTTCATGTTTTCAACTGAAGTATCGTCCAGTGTAGCCATTCCTGGGGAATGCCTCTCTTGGTTTCCTCTTGACAGCCAAGGCCTAGGCTGTTGGTTTTGTTTTAATGATATCTAAACCCCCCATCCTGCCCCCACCACCCACATACACACACATGCACACTTTATATTACAAATTACGCAGGGGGGGCTTACATTTCCGGTTATCAGTTTTGTATTCAATGATTTAAACTCATAGCCCCCTCCCCCCACCAGTAGTTTACCCAGCCGCTTCTCCCTCTCATGGTAACTGTCATCCAGGGCACCTACGTTAGCACCCGTCACCAGCCCATTGCTTCCTCTTCCCGCCTTTGCCCTCCGGCCCTTGGCAGTCTCAAAGGCCGTTCCCTTTGGTGTGAATATCTCTCTTTTTTGACCCCTTCTAACAGTGAATTCCTATAGTATTTATCCTTTTGTGTTGGAATCATTTCACTCCACACGATGTTCTCCAGGTCCTTCCATGTCCCGAGATGCTTTATGATTTTGCCTTTTTTAAAAAATTTTTTTAGCAATGATAGTGTATCGTGTGTATGTATCAGAGTGTCTTTATCCATTCTTCTACTGATGGGTATTTAAGTTGTTTCCATCGACGTGGTATTGGGAACAATGCTGTGATGAACATGAGTATGCAGATAGATACCTGTTTGTGGTATGTCTCCTCTTCAAGGTATATAACCCTAAGATAAGTGGACTTTCGATTCCAGGTGGCCCCATATCACTTCCACAATCTTGTACAAGTGTACAGACCCACCTGCAGTGTGTGAGGGTTCCAACGTCTCTGCAGGCTCCAGCATTTGTTATTTTCTGCTGTACTGAACTTAGCTGTTAATGTCGGTCTAAGGTGTAGCTCATCTCTTTGGATTTGCATCTCTCAAATCGCTGTTGGTCGTGAGCATTTCTTCGTATGTTTGTTGGCCATTTGGTTGTCATGTTTGGTGAGGCTGTTTGTTTGTTTGTTCTTCACTTTTGGCTGTTTATTCTCTTGCTCAATGTGGAGACATCGATCAGTGTGATGAACACCGTCTTGGTCTTTAGCTAATGTGTGGAAGAAAAAGTTGGACAACATGGGTAAGAATCCTCCGGGGTGTCCCAGAGGGTAGGATCTCCTTCCCACGGAAACATGACTCCTGTGTATTTGTTGAGCCTGGATTAGGTTCAGAAGTAGCTGTAGCTCAGGGCGCAGCATCAATGGAGTGGTACCGTGGGCTCACTTAAGCCATAGTTTGCGCAGCTTGACATCTAGTTTCTGCCTGCAGGTCAAAGCATGAAGAAATTGATCTGGTCAGTTTAGAGGAATTTTATCAGGAGGCCCCTCCAGATATCAGCAAGGTCGAAGTCACCATGGGAGACCCTCACCAGCAAACGCTTGCACGTCTAGACTGGGAGCTGGAGCAGCGGAAAAGGTAGCGTGGTCTTCCTCTGGGCCTTGTTCACCTGGGTGAACAGTGGCTGCTTACTCGTGGCGGGAGAGGGCTCCTTGGCGCAGTCCGGGAATCGGCAGAAGAGTCTAAGACGATGTCCCATCTTGTCATCTGGTTGAAACTTGACCAACTTCATTCAGGGTGGGATTGGAGTTGCTGACAGCTGTTGACAGAAAGTTGAATAACTTTCCTTTAGACTATGAATGCCTGAGACCTAAATATCTTTGTGCCATAAATCTGATAGTTTTGTATATTGCCTTTCCCTTGGCGTGTAAGCAGATCCCTGTGATATTATAGTCTGGCAAACATTGTTTTAGAGGCCTGTGTGACACACTATTTTATAGACAAATTTTAATTCACCCCATTATTCATACCCCCGTTGGACTTATAGGTTGTCTCTATTTTTTGTTCTCACAAATAATTCTTCAAGGTATATGCTTTCCCATATAAGACTTTTTATTTATTGAGTCTAAGTGGGATGTATATTGTTGGTAGTTTAATCTAGGTTTCTTAGAAGATAGTGTATACCCACTGCTATGGAGTTGATGCCAACCCACCGCTATCGAGTGACCCTCTAGGACAGAGCAGAACTGTTCCCTTGGGTTTCCCAGGCTGTGAATCTGTACAGGAGCAGACAGCCTCATCTTTTCCCCTTGGAGTGGCTGGTGGGTCCTAACTGCTGACCTCTGGCCAACTCTTAAACCACTATGCCATCAGGGCTTTCCCCCCCCCCCCCGGGCTCCTTAAGAATATAATGCATTGGGTAGAAATTTTCCCCCCACACTGGACTTTTCATGATCACAGCTCTCCTACGCATGCTGACTCTCACCTTTCATGCTTACACGTGAATTCAAAGGGTTTTAGTTGAGGCTTCTGCTCTGTTTTATATTGGAGGAGCAGCTGTTTCTGCCCATTACCATGTTCTGTTGGTGAGAATGTGTTCTGTGCTGTTGGTCCATGTTAAGAACTTAATAAGTCTTGACTTCAGTTCATAGGGCATTGATGTCAGTTTTTCAGCAGGTACTGGCCTGTCACTGCCATTCAGCCTGAGCTGCGAGTGCCTCATCGTGGCCCTGGGCTGGAATCTCTGCCCACCTCAGCCTCACTCTTGCCAGTTGGGGATTTTGTTTGGCTCATGTAATTACTGTGTCCACATATTTGTGAAAGTGTTGGGTTTAGCATCATAGGCAAGCCGAGGAACAGTTAACAGCACAGGGGTACACATACGTGTGTTGCAGGTGGAGGCTCTGGAGTCAGCACAGATTCAAAGCCCAGCCCTGCATTTGCTATTCACATAACTATAGTTACTGGATGGCTCTGTGCAATTACCTACCACCTTTAGACTTCGTTTCTTTCTTCAGGCATAAGAATGTTCTCTCACTTGGTCGATGCTAACCCGATAGGACAGGGTCAAACTGCCTCTCTGGGTTTCTGAGACTCTTTACAGGAGTAGAAAGTTTTGTCTTCTCAGGAGCAGCTGGTGGTTTTGAACTGCTGATCTTGTGGTTAGCAGCTCTGCTCGTTAACCACTAGGCCACCAGGGCTCCTTAGAAGAATGATCCCTACCTTCCAGGATTTTGATAAGGATTTAAGGCAATAATGCTTGCAAAGAGCTCACCAAAACGCCTGCATTCAGTGAATGGTCAGTAGACTGTAGTAGTTGATCATGCTTCGATTAGGTGGGATCTGACAGTGAGCAGACGTGCCAGGGGATCCCTGGAGAATATCAGGTGACCGACAGCTTTCTGTCCTCCTCACAACAGGCTGGCAGAGAAGTACAGAGAGAGTCTGTCCAACAAGGAGAAGATTCTCAAAGAGATCGAGGTGAAGAAGGAGTACCTGAGCAGCCTTCAGCCTCGCCTCAACAGCATCATGCAGGTGAGGCCCCACCAGCGTTTGGGTGTGTCTTCACCAGCCAGTTAAACCTTGCTGACCAGCCACTGCCAGCAGTCACTCCACCATCACGTTTGGCCATATCTGTTACCCTGTGATATAGTACAGGGTAATGCAAGATGGTCTTGTCTGCATGTGTACCGTAAAGCTGTGTGCTGGGGGGAAGAAGATGGCCGGGTGGGCCCAGGAGCATGTGCACACATTTACCTCGAGCATTTTCTTCACCCAGCCTCCTCTGGCATAGCTCTCTCTGACTGTGTTGTTTGAACCCACTGGTGACCTGCAGCCAGTTAGAGGTCTCAAAAATGGGCTCAAACATAACAATAATTGTGAGAATGGGCACAGGACCGGACAGAATGTTGTTCTGTTAGACATAAGATCACTGTGAGTTGCAGCGGACCCAATGGCACCTAACAGCATGCTCTCACCTGAGCCCAGCAGTCTTTAGACATCTGCCGGCGCCTTAGCAGATCTCCTTACTCCAAAAACGTTACTCATCTGAAAGCCATTAGATACCCTAGAGGGGACAGTCCTTATTCCCCACAAAATGTGCTATCTTTCAGTATGGATGACCCACTTTTTGTGTTTATGAAGCCAGATCTGGTCTCAACTCTCATAGTTTGATGAAGCTGAATAAGATGACTTCCTGGAAGGAACTTTGAAAGGACCCTTGGAAAATCCTAAATCCACGCTTCTAGGCAGAATCGACATTTCCTCCCTTCATCTCCAGGGGTAGCAGTGGGGTTTGCTCACAGAAGTATTTGTCAGTAGCGCTTCATCATAGGACAGGTATTTTGTTTGGGTACTCAGTACTAAGTCAGAATGGCTAATTTTCTCTTAACTAGAAAACTCGCTCAATGTTTGTAAATAGGGTACAATTAAAATAAATTAGTGTCGCTCTGATGGCACAGTCAGCTCTCAACTAGTAACCAAAAGGATGGTGGTTCAAGCCCACCAGCCACTCTAAGGGAGAAAGATGTAGCAGACTACTTATATGAAAATTACAGCCTTGGAAACCCACAGAACATCGTGCCACTGACAGGTAGAATAACTGGACAGAAAAAAGCCATCATTATGGAACAAGATGTAAGTTGTGGAAGAAACATCGCATGATCTCATTTTTGTGCTGTACTTAAAGTGTCTATGGATACATGCACACGTGAGTCGTGTAGATGGCAAAAATAGTCTGTATTCATACTAAACCAAAGCAGTTTCCTCTGGTACTGAAACCTGGGAGTTTTGACTTTCTAACCCGAGTATGATTTTTAAAAAATATTCTTTTTATATTGAATTAAAAATACACAGAAAAGGATACAACTCATGAATATGCAGCTCAGTGGCGAAGTAAACATACCCATGTAGTCAGATCAAGACAAAGAACTTTAAAGAACATTATCGCCTTTCCAGAAGCCCCTGTATTCCTTCTCGGTCGTAATTAGTCCCCAGGCAACTGTTATCTTAACTTGTCACCTCATAGGATAATTTTGACTGTTTTCAAACTTGTAGAATAGGATGCATATGGTCTATACTTGTCTGGCTTCTTCTCAATGTTTGTGAGATCCATCTGTGTTGTTGCAAATATCAGGAGTCACTTACTAGTTGCTTTTAGTATTTGATTTTGTTGTTTCCAACTTGTAGCGATTCTGAATAGAGCTGCTGTGAAACTTCTCATACTTCCCTTTGGTGTACACATTCTGTTGGGTATTTACTTAGTAAGGAAGTTGCTGGCTCGTCATGTACATGTATATTTGATTCCAAGTCATAGTGACCTTGTAGGACAAGGTAGAACTTGCCCCTGTGTGTTTCCGAAACTATCATTACATATGGGAGTAGAAAGCCTCATCCTTCTCCCATGAAGCAGCTAGTGGTTTCAAACTGCTGACCTAGGGTTAACAGCCCAATGTGTAACCACTATACTGTCAGGGCTCCTGTATTGGGTTGCTTAAAGCTCTTTATATATTTTGTAATTGAATCTTGTGCCGATATCTTTTCCCATTTTGTGACTTGCCCTTTTACTCCTGTAATGGTTACCTTTTGATGAAGAGAGGTCTTTAATTGAATGTGGCTTATCACTCTTTTCCTTTAAGGCTAGTGCCTTCTGTGTCCAGTCTAAGAAATCTTTCTGTTTTCTTATAGAAACCTTATTGTTAACTTTTCCCATTTAGTTCTGTGGTCTACTTAGCAATATTTTTTGTATCCAATGTGAGATAAAGGTGAAGGCTCCCTTTTTATTTTCCCATATAGGTATTCAGCTGACCCATTTATATATATATAATATATACACACACACACACACACACACACACACACACACACACACATACATTATTTCTCTCCGCATTGTTCTGTAGGGCCACTTTTGTCATAATAAATAGATCTTTGTGAACTATTTATGTACTATACCAGTACCATACTGTCCTAACTATTATAGCTTTATCAGAAATCTCAATGCCCAACCTTAAGTTGTAAGTCTTACAACTTTGTTCTTCAAGATCATCCGGGTTATTCTTGGTCCTTTGCATTGACTTAACGATTTTACAATCAGTTAGTTTATTTCTATGTGCTGGAATTTCTATTGGGATTGTGTTGAATGTGTAAATGAATTTGGGGGGAAATTGACATTTTAACAATATCAAGTCTTCCAAAACTGTTTTACATGCTCTATATTATTTTCATTATTTAGACCTGCAGTGATTGATTCTTAGTTGTTTTGTTATTTTCTTTTTTGGTATTTGATATTTTCTTGAATGCCATCAGATTTTTTTGAGATTTGGGTAAGGGTTTGCTCAACAACTCAGCTTCCCATTCAGCAATTCATGCACATTTTGTGGTCAGCTGCAATCCTCACAGTATAACACCACTGGCCCTATTGTCCTGCCTGTGTACCTCTTTTCCACTTCTCCGCCTTTCCTATCCCTTTCTGACTTCTGAACTTTGTTCGTGGGCAAATGCTGCCCCTTTGATTTCTAATGATTGGTTATTCTAAGGAGCTCATCTCTCTTTAGTGTTACTGTTCTCCTTATAGATCTTGATTGGTTGAAAGTTGAACCACAGGGGTAAGTTCATTTCCAGCCTTAAAGGGTGACTGAGGAACATGGTCTCAGGAGTTCCATCAAACTCTATTCAGCCCAGGATCCTGGTCTTTTTAGTAGGACTTTGAGTTTCATTCTACATTTATCTCCCATTCTACGCAGAACCTTCTAATTTGACCCCTTTCAGATCCTGGTAGAAGTGGTAGCCAGGCACCATGTAGTTTTTCTAGCCTCAGGTTCATGGGGGCTTATGTGTCATTGGTCCATTAACCTTTAAGTGAATTGTTTTTATGCCTCTGTGATTTTCTTCATTCCTCTTCAGTCCAAGCAGGGGTTCGGGCTCTTTAATGCTGGGGGCAGGTGTGGGCAGTCAGTGAAGAGGCGACTCTGGGATGTTTTGCGGGCCCTTCAGCTCTCTAAGGCCCTGCAGCAATATGTGAACGTGGCCTTGATATTTATGGAGTCCTTGGTAAGGTTGTCACTGAACTCTGTGAGGAGACAGCTCTTATAACCAGTGAACTCGAGAGCTCTGTCAGTCTCAGCTCCAGAGGAAAAAAACCACACCCAAGGGCCACGTAGATTCAGGAAGTGTCTGGGACCACTGTGTCAACAAAGAAGTTACAGCCCAAATCCATCTGCACCTATAACCGAGTGCTTAGCTTCCTGGATTCGCCAAATGATGTTTCTTAGCTGGAGGTACTTGACCAGCTGCTCATAGACCCTGTCATGATGGTCCAGCACCTTTCATAGGTCCTGCTGAAGCACGTCACTGAGGAAGACCTCCTGGCACACTGTCTCACTTGTGGCCTCTACCATCTGCTGTATAGGGGGCATCGCCATGAAGAGCTCTATAGAGCCGCCGGGGAGTAAGAATAGCTAGTTGGCATTACTCATAAGCTTTAAAAAAAAACCAGTGCTGCTCACCAAAGTAAGATGTAGAACATGGCCTTGGTGGAACAGGTTGACCTTGGTGTCCCTTGAGACGCTGGTCCTCAGCCCCCTGACCCAGCCACTCTTTCCCTCAAATTGGTATGGCTAAGAAGGTCTTCATAACTTTGCCTCTTAAATGCTGCACACATTCATGGCTGTGTTTGCAGTTTCTGGAACGTTTTGTACATAGAGACACATCCTTTATGAAGCTTATATGTAGCTGTGGGGGTAGCCTTCCCACACCTGTTCAGCTTGTGTGTGTGTAGATCCACTCATAGGTTATTGTGATTACTGTGTTTGCAGGATTGTGTATATTTATGTCTGTTGCCTTTAACTCTTGTGCTCCTCCCAGTGTCTTCCTTTGCCTCGTTCACTCTGTATTGACCCCCATCTTAGCATATCTTGGCTTCTTTCTCCCAAATTAAAACACTTTATTTATTCACAATAAATTTTTTTTTAGGTTGTACATAGAAATATGATCTCACTAGGTATGCGTTCCACAGTAAGAGCTATAACAGAATAGATATCTGCACACCCATGTTCATCACAGCACCATACACAATAGCCCAAAGACAAAAACTGCCCAGTGCCCATCAGTGGATGAAAAAGTAAATATTAGGTGGAGATTTACAGAGCAGATCTTACTTCTACTTCAACATTTCTTTTTTTTTTT